TGGAAGAGCTGATGCCACTGCCTGGGCGTTCATCCTCCTGTCAAGGCAGGCCGGTGTGGAAACAACATGTAACAATAAATACCTATGTCCCCATGGCCTGTACCCGACCATGCTGCTAAAGACAGTGCTACAGGCTTCACCTATGGACCTATGGAAGAGTCCTTGAGAAAAAAGTCAGGAAGTAATCCAAGTCTTGGCTAACATGCCAGTCAGCAATGAATCAAAATGACGACTGGTGGATAGACAAATATTGACTCGTGTTTCCTCATCGCCGGGCAAACCTGGCTTCGAAACGCATTGTTGGGGCTATTCTCCTGACTACGCCAGGTTGCCCGATTTGGATCAAATCTGGCCTTCCTTGCCCCATGAACCAAGAGACTGGGGCTGGAAGACCGGGGTCTGTAACCCTGCATAGATCGAGCAAGAACTTAGCCGCTCGAGCGTTGGATTCTGAGGGAAAACGGCGTAGCAACAATTCTACAAGCTCTAGATACTTGCCCGCCTTGTGCTGGACAGGTAGTTTCAGCTGGCGAGGTGCGGGAAGAGCTTGACCAAGAAGAGGGACAACGAATTGGTAAGGTAGTGCCACCACCCCTTCCTCGAGATGTTGTCAAGTACTAATAGTTCCCAAGAGCAGCATTTTCTTGTATAACACATTAAGTTGAGTGACTTGTGCCAAATCTGTGTCCGAAGCGTTGTCTTTGACAAAGCATATGACATCGAGCTCATTTTGCTGCACAGCCCCACGTGAATCATCGGTATGGATGACGACATTGCGGGGAACATCTGGTCAGAACAACTCAATTCTAAACTAAATCAACCATGACAGCCTCAAGATGTTTAAATTGTTCAAGCCTTGTCTTCGTAAAAAGATGTATGCGTGATGCCCACCCACATCTCCTTTCAGTCCGCCTTGGAATTTGACTGGCAGGTTGGTGTCCAGCCTGCAGAGCGGGATGGTGACAAGCATCATTGCTTGGCCAGTGAGTGCTGATTTATAGAGTTTGGGAGGACAAGGAACCAGTCTTTCCAGGGTCGACAGGAGGTGATGTATTCCACATTGATCTTGGCGTGTGGTCCAATCCACTTGCGGATGTTGATCCTGTCTAAGACGCTGCGAATCTTCCTTAGTCATCAGCTTAAAAACAGGGTCCTGTACTTCAGGTTTCTGGATGGTTTCACAGAATGATTCACATGACATGGGGGGCGAAATAAGTGGTAACATAATTGGAAACGAGCAGCCAAACCAAGTCCTCCACGTCTGCAATCATGTCTATGTATTGCACACAAGCTGCCAAAACTCCGAAGAGCTGATCTCAGAGGAAAAGTGCAGCAGCAGCAAGTAACTGAACCCAAACAATCAGTCCATCAGTCTGTCACCCCAAAGACTATTTAATGCAAGGTTCCGAGGCAGCCGTGGGTGTGTCCTGTTCTTGAGAACAGGATACACCCACTGTGAAGGTGTTGTTTTGCCAAAAGAAGGCTCATCATCTTCAATGTACAATTGTTCTTGTTTTCTCGAACTGTGTTGTCTGCCTCGGCTGGGGAGGCCATGACATATAGAAGGACCAACAAAATGCATCTCAATCAAATTTTGATAAAAGGGTGCAAATCGGAAACAGTAACTGAATGACTGCAAATTGCCCAGATCAGGACCTCATCAGGTAGTCTTCTACCTTTTTCAGTAAAAATGTGTGATACATCCTCCATAGCTCGCAGAAAACACTCTGCAATCAGAGATGAATCAGCTGGAATCCCTGGGTTGATGATGTAAAGGTTGAGGGACACGTTGTGCACCCACAACCCGTGCAATTTCATTCTTGGCCGAACCAAAGACAACGACGAAGCTTCCTTCGACGACTGGACCACTCTGTTTCTTGGGAGGGCCCATTTCGATTGATCCATTCCGTCCTCAGTCAAATGCCCGACACATCAAATATTTCACCCAAGATCAAGGCCAATGAACAACGACCTATGTTGACAAGAGACCCAATGGATCGTAATTGGGGCGTTCTCCGAGTCCAATGGTGATTGCACCTTTGCACGACGCAAGGTCTTTGAGCTTTAGAAACCTGTGTGTGTGGTCTTGCCTGAATCCATTCCTCTAGCTGGCGGTCTGCTGCCACAATTGACAAATGGTTGCGATAGGTTTTGGCGCAATCAAATCTGGATTGGGAATCCTAGGTTGCATTGAACTGCCAACAGTAACAAAATTCTAAGTGTGTCCCCTGACTGACTTTCCAAGAAAACTGCGCAAACCCCGGGAAAAGTTGCCAAGTTTCGTGACAGATTTTAAACTGTTCTTTGCAGTCAAGACATACGTCGCAGGTCGAATGTGTTGTCTGCGGTAAGAATCGCAAGGTGTTCTTCCATGATGAATTGAACCTCCGAAGAAAAGTTGCATACCTGGGGTGCAAAGAGCTAGATCCCATCAGAATTAAGTGAAAACTGTGTAGCGCGCAAAAATCCATAGAACAGGATACAGTAAATACTTCTTAGCGTCGATACAGTCTTGACAGACAGCTGGAATTCATAGAAGAGCATTTTCACCGAACCCGGTGGAAGGTAGCGAGTTGGAAGCTGCGCTACTTTCTCTGCGAAGGCAGACTCAACATACCTGCACCATCGAATCAGAACCAATCATTAGACTACTTCCTGGTGTTTAGCTCTGAGGAACAGGCGTTGAGAATGCGGTGTTGATTCCATATATGTGGCATTTCAGCTCTTCATCATCCTCAAGCTGCTCCCCTGCAGCTGAGAACTCCGGCTCTGGTATTCCCTCTGAAGGACCTTGGATTCACAAAGGGCTGTACAGACGTTAGCTCACCTCACAGTGTTTCCCGAGAATGCTTTCACGCCACAAGATTCTGTGTCGGAATCGACAACCTGATGATTCAGCAGCACTTGAAGCTTGCCACCCTGTCTGCTCTTTCCACCTCTCTGGAACCTGAGCTAAAGCCTAGAATATCCTAGAATGTGAGTGGAACAACTCAATAGGCAAATTGATGAGTTTACCACTTGTTCGGGAGCATCCCCGCCGCAGATTGCCAAAGCTTGAGGAGATGCATGTCGACCAATTTCATCTTCACAGTGGTTCGCTTCCGTACCTAAATTTGCTGGCCCAAAATGCATCAAAATCATGAGGCTAGGTGGGAGGCCTAACTGCAAACAATTACGCTTGGCTACTTTGCCAAATAAGCGAAACCGAAGGTCAAGCCGGCCACGCGATGCATTCTGAAGTCTGTCATTTCCAATGCCCAGCAGGGTCGCTAGGCACTGAGGTCCCACTGGCTTGCTCAACAACTTCCACTGTTTCGAGATCCCGCCTTTTGCTGGAGAAACCACCCGATGAATCTGAGCAAGATGTGGTATCAAGGTTTTGAGTACAAATGACCAAGCCCCCTTCAAAATCAAAGGACATAAAGGACTGAATTCCAACTAAGGGTGGGACATAAGCATCTTGTAGGGTTTTTTTCAAACTCCAAAACTTGTTCAGAAACTTGACAAGCTCATGCTCGTTGAACAGTTTGAAGCATTTGCTTCGCTTGCAGCGGCAATGTTTGGTGAGAGTCTTCCTCACCCTCCAAATTGATTTGCCATTAAGATCTTGCCTTGGATCCGGCGCCCTGTGCAATAAGGAATCATACTGGGGAAGGATAATTAAAAAAAACAGACACGAAAAGTACACCAAGCATAGTGCAAGAAACCGCCTTCTATCCACCTGGTTGCTCAAGAACTTTCTATTCCGACTGTCATAGTTTGGTCTTTTTCTCGGTGGTGCTGGGGGAATAACGTGGGCTGTGTGAACCAGGTGCTCGTTCTCAAATCCGAGCAATGACTCCATGGTGAAATCCACAATCGTCTTACCATCATCGTTACCATCCGGTCTATCATCCGTTGAGGGGGGAACATCATTTGTTGAAGGCCCTGTGGCAACCATGGATTGAAAAACATCTTTCGAAGATCTGTGCCAGATCTAGAAGGCCTGGAGCCATCGTCAGAATCCTCGCACCGGGTCAAAGAAGACAAGGGCTCATTGGGTTCATCATAATGGGCGACCGAAGAAGAGGTGGATAAAGAACCACGATCATCGGAAGGACCAGGACCACCATCACGCAGGGAGCGAAGGAACCTGCAAAGCTCGTATTTAAGTCAAACCAAGTCAAATAACAGTAAACACTATGAAACAATTTGTTTTTGATTCACACATTGCAGCCTAGAAACCGGAGCCGGCTGCTGTCCCTCTTTGAGGGCCCATCCCGGCTTGATGGCACTTGAGCCATCAGCTAGCAAAGTAACAGACTACTGAATGTAACGCAACCATTCCTGAACACAACGAAACTTACTTTATAATTATATATATATATATGTGTGTGTGTGTGCGGGTGTGTGTGTGTGTGTGTTGCCCCAGTGCTAGCCCACCCGCTACGTGGGAGCAAACACCGTGATCCAAGGATCAACCCCTACTGCTGTACTTCTTGCACAGCCAAATTCCCATCATTTCTGAATGTCAGGCCATCATGCCACCTGCAATCTTGGTCATACTGTAGCAATCTCCCATTGGCTGAGCAAGCCCGTGGCATGCTGAACCCAGGAGAAAACATGTCTAAATCAATTTGCAAATCCAGTTTGAAAATGCTCTGGCAACCAGTTTGGTTCTATCCAGTGCGGGGCCTCTCTATTCGCTCTATAATGGAAAGCCTCACTTACAGACGATGACAGGTGTCATGAGACGGTCACTGGCGGCCCAATGGTCGGAACACTTCTCCTGTTTGGATCACGTCGACGTCGACTCGACGGACGTCGTGCCCAGTGGAACCGAGTCACGGCGTGGTTCGACATCGATGCGCGAACTCTAGATATTGTATTTTAGAACTTGGGCCTGGGAAAACCCAGACTAAGACTAAGACAATCAAGTCTGAAGCTAAGACGGGGGTTGCCTCCATTCCAGAAGGCCAAATGTTTTGGAGGCCACCTCGCACCTCTCGCTGCTGAGTCACTTGCGTCCTCCAAACGCTGCGTTCCTTCAGCCGGGTGGTCCCCGTGCCCACCGGCGCATCTGCCGGGTTGGGCAGCTGGCGCCGGGCGAAGGAGCGGAACAAGTCGTGGAGCTTGGGCTTGAAATGCTCCAAGACCAGAAGCACCTCAGATCGAGCGTCTGACTGTCTGACCTCTGGGTGTCGCGAAGATCAGGACCTCCGTGACGGCCGCAAATACTTTAAAACTGCGCCAAAGAGGCTTCAACAATCCAGCTCTCTGTAGCACACTTCGTCAGGACATGTCAGGACCCTTCGTCAGGACCTGTCGTTTGCGAATGTGTGCGATAATTAAAACCAATTCCAAGCCAATCCAAGCTCCATGTCGAAAGGGTGTTGAAGGGATTGCTTCGTACACTCATCAGCCCCTCATTCCCCCTACTCTATTCCCCTCTACTCTGATCCCGCTGCACCCTGTGAATTCTCTTACCTCCTCATAGTGTCCAGGGCACGTTGGGATCCAATGAGAAGTCGTCCTCAAGTGCATCCGCCTGGGATGGCCTCACCCGCTCTGCCACGCTGGCGATTCGGGTCAAAAGCTCTTGCATGGCAGCCTCCCAGTCGCTCAGGTCTGGGTGGACATTCACCTGGGTGGGGATCTGCGCGCAAGTGGGCACACTGTGGTTGTCAAACAGTTGAGTGATTCACCCCACAAACACAAAGAGACCTACCACACTCAGTTGCTTCTAATTGCCCAAAGCTTTTCTTCTATGTGATGCTGTTTGGATCGTTGGGCTCCATTATTAGTACCATCCCAATGTCAAAGTCTATCTTCCTTCCACAAACCTGCAGTTTGGAGGGTCTCCATATGTCTCCATGCTTCTTGCCCGTCATGGTCCAACCTGCCACGGCCCAGTGACTGCGACCAAGCAAAGAGCCTTGCAGAAGTCCTCGTAGGTCAAGCGCTTACCCCCATAGTCCACGTCATGAAGCACGCGCTGAAAAATGAGGTCCGCATCCGCCCAAGAGGCAAGGCAAGGCCCTAACATCGGCGAAAGCGAGATCGATGGGACGGTCCTTCGCCTAGCCTATCGAATGCTATGGAAGATCCTGCTATAGTTAAAAATAAGATGTAGAATCATGAATCTCCAAATTTAATATAGTGTGTTCGAATAATTTGGAGATGCATCATACAAAATACATATCATTGGCTCAAAATCAGTAGTAATTCCAATAAATTGATGGTTACAAGTAGTGTAGACTATTCTGGCAATCCTGGGGATTGTTCCAGGGATCTCGAGAGATCCACATCTCCTCTCTGTCACAACTCCGAGCGACTCTTCGGTGAGGTCGCCACGGCCGGCATGAGATCCAGCTCTTTCAACATCCTGAGGCTTCGCCGGGCGACCGGGGCGAAGAGCCGGGCTGAGCCGGTGCGGCCGGGTCAACATCACCAGTTTAACCGGTGCTTTAGCAAAACGGGAGGAAGCTTGAAAAGCCATGAAAAGGAGGTGAAGAGCCCGTGAAAACGGAGGGAAAGGCCATCAAAAACGGGTGATAATTTGGTCGTGGAAGTTGGGAGGTGAAATGCGTCCTTGGCGCTAACGCACCAGTTCAACCCGTCCTTTGGACTTGCTGGGCAAGGTTGCGAGATTTGACCTTTATATCACATAACAGTACTGCACAATAGAAAGTGAATGATCCAGAGGATGGAAAACACGTGACAACTAGCCAGTCTGTCCCATATCGGAGCATCTTGATCCATTTGCTGGAGTGCATCAGCTCCGTATTCAGCCGCTCTCCATAGCTGCAATGCCTCGCGAAGGTCTCCCGGAGCACTTCATCAAACTCCTCAGGCACCAACACCTCGGTGTTGAAACTGTCATGGGCCATACTGTTGATGGGAAGATAAGAAGTGCCCCCGCACCACCTGGAACCACCCAAAGCACTGGAAACAACCATGTAATTTTTTTCAGGCCGTGCAGGGTGTCTTGCTTAGCTGGTGGCACCAGCTGGAAAACATTCATGTTGAAACAGTTGGTGTGCTTTTGTTTAGGTTGAACTGTTTGTCCAAACTGGGTGTCGAACAAGCTGGCGAGAAAACAACAAAAAAATCAATGATGTTTAATGTTCAATCTATTTCATGTGAGCCCCGTGGGGCATCGAATCGGAGAACCCCTCCATGAAGAATGCCTTTTTGTATCTTTTTGTGATCTTTTGTGGTTGCGGATGTTGCGGAACCTTTCCGGATGGCGGAACCCTTTCCCCCTGTCACACCTCCAGTGGCGAGGCCAGCACCTGCTTCTCGAAGTCCTATCGGCACCGGTCAAACATGCTTCGAGGTCTTGCGACGAAGCGAGGGTGATGCATTCATGTCAAGACTGTCGATTAGAAAAACTCCCCATTTAGTTCAAAAAACATTTCATATGGGCGGCTAGACTAATCATGTCTATATTGCCCCAAAAAATTCGAAGTGGGGCATTGGTGGTGACTGCCCGAGAATGAAGGCGACGGTAAGTGGAATGAGTGTGAATGTAATTCGAAGGATGTCACCTGCCACATGACGGGCACGACCGTGGGATTTCAACAAAGGTTCCACATATATACACATTTGCCCCCCTCAGCGGCAGAATTGTTTCAATCACAACACACAATACATAGTCGCCACTGCGTAATAGTAGCAGTAGCAGTAGCAGTCGTGTTGGTCATAGTCACACCCACATTGTGTCATAGCAGTCGTCAGTTAGTAGTAGCAGCGGTCGTTGTAGCCATCGTAGTACCAGTAGTGGCAGTAGCAATAGCAGCAGTAGCAGTCACAGTCGCAGTCGCAGTGGTAGTAGTAGTAGTAGCAGCAGCAGCAGCAGTAGTAGTCGCAGCAGCAGCAGCAGCAGTAGGAGTAGGAGTAGGAGTAGGAGTCGTAGTAGGAGTAGTAGTAGTAGTAGTGGTAGTGGTAGTGGTAGTGGCAGTAGTAGTAGTCGTCGTCGTCGTCGTGGTAGAATATAGTAGTCACATGTTGCGACTCTGGAACTTCAAGCGGGCAAGGTTAGGGATGTGTTTGAAAATTTGAGGGAATGTTGGTTTTGAAATTGGTTGGGCCTGTTGGACTTGTTTCACTCAAGTCTGGTTGGTCTGTTTTTAGCGTTTCGCTTTATGTGTTGCATGTGTTGTTCCAGGGCAAAATACAACAACGGTGCTGCAGTGTTTGTTTCCTAGGGACAACAACACCCGTTTAACAACTACGGGGCTCCAGCTTTTGTTCCTAGGATGTGGTAGAGGTCCCTACAGCTTGTAGACTAGTAGAAGTAGTGATAGTTGTGGCAGCAGCAGCAGCAGCAGGAGGAGGAGGAGCAGGAGGAGGAGGAGTAGTAGTAGTAGTACTCGTTGTAGTTGGTAGGAGGAGTAGGAGCAGCAGCAGTAGTAGTAATAGTAGTAGTAGTAGTAATATTACTACGACGACAAAGAAGACGACGACTACTACTACTACTACTACCACTTCAAAAAGCAACTGCGGGGCTGCAGTTTGTGTTTCTAGGACATAGGAGAGGGTAGAGACAAAGTATGAAGATTCATGTGTTGTTGTTGTTGTTGTTGTTGTTGTTGTTGTTGTTGTTTGGTAGCAGCAGCATGGCGGCAGCAGCAGCAACAGCAGCAGCAGGAGGCAGGAGGAGGAGTAGTTATTGATGCTGCTGCCCTGAACTACAGGACTTAACCCTGCATTGTAAGCACCTGCACCCAACTTTCAGAGTTCAGCCTTGCTTGCCGGCCCTCAAAATGTCTGTGTGTGTGCATTCAACACTGCTGCATTCTCAACCCACCCCAACTCAAAACTGGCCTGTTTCTCTGTGTTGCGCTTCAAATGCTTCATCAAACCATCGAATCCTGAGCAAATTGTATTGCCATGTATTCCCGTGTGTATATATATATGTATATGTCCCCCATTAAAGATCTGCGCCATTTAACCATGGTTCTTGCTCACACCACTCAAAGGCTGAGTCCCGATGCATTCAACGTAATACATGATTCACCTGATTTCACCCATCACAGCCACCTGACACCCGCTTTGACCATCGTTTCCACCGACCTCTTGGTGTCGTGTCCACCGCACCGGTCGCTTGGACTTGTCTCTGAGGGTCTCTGGCTCCAAGTGTTTAAGTCAAAAACCTCAGAATGGTTTCTTTGGTCCAAGTGTTTCTTTGGGTCAAGTGTTTGCTTAAACCCTCCAAGTGTTTACTTTACTTGAAACCTCTCAAGGTCAACTGATTTGTCTCTGAGAGTCTCTTGATGATGCTGGGCTCCAAGTGTTGACTCTGAGCCAACTCTTCCGCTGCCGTGGGCACATGCCGTGAGGCGAAGCGCCGCGGGGAATACGACCTGCACATGGAGATCGGGGATCGAGGCACTGGTGGCCCATCAAAAAGACCTTTCTGATCTGATCCAGTTTGAAAAAGGATTTACCCAATTTGCAATTCTTGTTTAGGATATTTTCGGAGTGTTAAGACCATGAGCTTTTCATGGCTTAAGGCTTAAGGTTGCCCATGAGGCAAACGTCAGAAAATTACAAAAAAGAGGCACTTAGAGGCCGCATGGCTGAACATCTAACAAAAACGCAACACCTCCCCAGTGCTTTGCTCACCTTCCATGACCCTTGGACTTTGGGGACAGCGAGGAGCTCCGTGTGCGGCTGGACCAGCGCGAGGAGCCCCGTTGGGACGTCAACGTCTCGGTGAAGAGACCACTGGAGGCCAACGATGCCCGGTCCAACCGACTCCACGGGGCGGAGCGCGCCGAGGCTGAGCGCCGGAGGGATGCCATGGGACGCCAAGGCGAGTAAGGAAAGGCGGGCGGAGCGAGGAACTGTCGTCTCTTGGAGAAAATGGCAGTGGAAGTGGTACAGGAAATTGGGATAAGGGCAGCTGCAATGCTAGAACGGTGAAACTTGATGAACATTGGTAAAGGGTTATATAGTTATTCATCTGTTCATGAATAAATGGATGTGATACGATGTGTATACAAATGGAAGGTTTTTGGGAGCAACCAGTACAGTAGGTAATGAGGAATTGGAAAGAACATAAGAAAATGAACACAATTATATATATATATATCTTTGTGAGGAGTTAGGGAGGTCTCCTTCCTCATTCAGGAACAACGGAGCTTCTTTGTGTGAATTGAAGTTGCAATTGGATGCACCATCCCACCAATCCAGTTCACCAACAGCCATGTTCCAAAGAAACCAGGTTTCCCACTTGACCCCAGCCATTCGGCCATTCGGTGTGTTAGAAAACGTCTGACCCAGCTTCGGCTTCTTGGAAAACTGGAACATGGTGCTCCAGATCGGACTTCAAACCTCTTGGATGGCCCGCATTGCCCTCATGGCCCTCTTTGATTTAAAGGTCTGCATTCTGCATGTTGGCCAGTGAGACCTGTGCAAGGACTCTCCGCAGGACTCTCCGCAGGTACACCGGGTACACCCATGTCTCAGCCAAAAGATGTTCAACGATTGGCCCAAGATCTATTAACAACTATTTTCCGCGAGAGGGATGGAGTTCATCTAGCCCCCCGTAAAGCTTGCCTCTGGACAGTGCAGCTTCGTGCATGTCCAACACCGCACCGACCGAGTGACACGGACGCTCGTCACCTGGGATCCCCCAGCGGAACCGGCCCTCCAAGGCCTGGGAAGTGTCCGGTAGACAGCACTTGGTGGCATGCGGTGCCCATGGGCCCCCCCAAAAGAAACAACAACGTACTGGAATTTTTGAGGTTGAGCCAAGTTTGTAGATGCTCTCCGCTATGTTTGGCCAGTTTGGGCCACCCCCAATTTGGTCCAAAAAAGAGGGATTTTAAGAGTTCCAATTTCAGCCATCAACGCACACCTCCCACCTCCCAAGAAGCGGCACACCAACGAATCGATCGGAAATGGGCATCGATTAAGAAATTCAATTCAATCCTTAGCTGGAGAAACCTGTCAGGCACTGGGTACTGTACCTGATAGTTCTATATGAGTGGAACTCCAGTGGCTCTGCCAGCGACCAGCCGACCGAACCGTAGGCCCGGGGCGCCTCCAAACGTCTCACCAGGTCTGGGTTGGGGTGGTGAAACCTGCGCGGTGGCGTGGCGGAAGCTTCGCAATCAAAAGCCCGAAAGTCCCAAACAAAACAACATGTACAGTACTGTAATCCGTTATAAAGGTGATATATATATATATATATATGATATATGCATATGTAGACTATGATATAAAGGGATTTGTCTGTATTAAGGGGTCACTACCTCTGCCACAGTCTAAAGCATCCCAAGATCATGTCTCATCTCAGGACAGCCTGATACAGCCTGGAGGTGATATGCAGCAAAAAATGACTTACTGGCTGGGTCACCCAAATAGACCAACATCGCTTCCAACATCGACGCTGCACATATCACCTCTAACAAACTCTAGCATAAAAAAACACATCTTAGGACCCGACCCCTGCGCCCCCTGCTCCTCTTGGACTCTTGGAGATGTCCTCAGCCACGACACGCGAAGGCTGCAAAGGGAACACCCCTCGTAGAAGGTCGTTGCTCTGCACCCCGGCCACGGACTATTATTCACTAATATTCACGCGGTCTCTATCATCAATACATAGTGGATGGATCCGTATTGACTGTCCCCAATGTCTCAAAGGACTAGGGACTAATTCATCTGTGAGAAGTCCTATTTCTGCCCCAGGAGTTCAACTCAAGAGAGTGGGTATGCTGGGCCAGATGTCTTTAGAAAGGCCAGCATTGAAAAGGCCATCCCCATTTCGCCATGCAAGCAATGGCCAGATACCCCAATTCGATTGGTCGCATTCTCTGCAAAAACATTGAAACTATCAGTGTAGACCACCCCCGGCTAAAAGAAAACCATCAAACGCATCAAAACCAAATCCCGTCACCGCTAAAAAGGCGGGTTCCATGTTTGTTGGGCATAAGGCTCCGGGTGGGGTGGGTCTTCATCCGCGAGGCGACATGACCATCTTCTCCCAGGAACTGGGAGTTCGCTGGGTAGGCTGCCACAGGCCCTGGCCTGACGGAGCAATTTGAACCACCGTGCTATGGAAAGCAATTAAAAAAATATGAGACACCACGGTTGCAAAACACAAGCAAATATATCAATAAACTCTAGTAAGGATTCTGGCGAAGGAAACCGGTGGAGGAAGGGATTGTGCATATTGTCCTGGCATGTCCTGTTCATTCAAAATCCTGAGGCGCAAGCTGTTCAACGCCGTGACATGGGTGCGCCTGAGAGCCTCAGGCAAGGCGAACTGAGGCCACGAAACAACACATGAGCATTGGAAATAGCAATAGATGCTACACTCCCTCCAACAAACATAAAAGAAGTGGACAACCCCTGGTGGAGAATCATCTTACAAGGCCCATACCATCCGCTTCTATTTATTGTGAGTCAGAGTAGGTGTATATATATAAATATATATCTATACACATGCATATGTCCATACGCACATGCGTGCCTCCACAGGCACACTCGCACAGCACCAGCACCCACACATAGACATCATGATATATAGAACAGTTTAAACTCTACAAATAATCCGCTAAAAGTAAACACACACAGGTCGTCGACGCCATGACATCGTTAGGATCCCCACGGTGTTGATGGCCATACTGCCTGGGATCTCTCTCTCAGAAACAACGTGCACCGCGTATGGCGAATGGATCGGTAAATCAATGCAACTTCTGGCTATTGATGAATCTTAACCATACTGTCAACAGCAAGAAGCTACTAGTAACAAGGTGCATCGTTAGTAGTAGCAAGAAGCTACTAGTAGCTAAGCGAATCGCTACTAGTAACAAGTGCATCGCTAACGTGATCTCCGAGGAACTGATGTGGGCCCTCTGAATGGGCAGCTGGTAGGTTTGGGGCAATCCCTGGCCTGAGTTCAACACGCCTGGACTTGCAACGGCCAACAAGTGCTCTGATTGTGTTGGGAATCCTGAGGCACAAGCTGCTCAACATCATGAGGACCTGCAACGGCCGGCTCAAACGCGTTTTTGCCTTGTGCAAAGAAAGCTCATGTCGAAGGCAAACAGTTGCAATCAGGAAGATAGCACTTCTGCCCACCAGCTGCCTCCTCCTGTCCTAAAAAGGTGGCAAAACCAAAAAGGGTCCCCGGTCAACACGAAAATGTAAGATGAGCACATGATAGCCGCATGATAGAAGCGCCAAAAATATCAAACATGTAAAATTGCTTTCGATTATTGAACTGAATGTCCTGGAGGAGGTTGGTGAAAGGACATCTAATAAGGGGCAGTCTAGAAAAAGCAAGGTGAGGCGGGATAGGCCTTATAAGCACTGTGAAGCATTGCACAGCAAAATTGATGAAACTTCACAGAACTCCATGTGTCAAATGGTTAGTGAATTGACTTATATATACTGGATCAGTGCTGCAAAGAGGGAAACACATGAAAGAACTGTTTCAACTGAAATGCAAACTGTTGCAAGCAAAGTCAGTCAAGGTCAACAAAAACAACACGTTCAGATTCTCTAGGATAATGATTAACACGGGTGAAATTACATCACTGTTACATCAAACACAGTGGCATCGTGTCAAAATCAGTATCTTTGCATTGTTCAAACAGCAGTCAAAAGTTGTGTGGTATGTGAAGCCAGTCATGGCAAACTTCAAGACATCTTTGAGCCTCAATGTGCCTCAATCAAAGGTGTACTTCTTAGAAGCGTAATCGAAATCACTCATCTGCTGCATATGCTTGAGTAGAAGGAGCCAATATGCTTGGCCAAGGAGCCATATGCAGCGCAAGTAAGTGTACCCCACTTGCTGTGCCAAGTGGCGGGTCCAAGTGGTCACCTTCAATATCCTGTGACCATTCCAAAGACCAAGCCCCTCTGTCCTCAGATGAGGAAGGAAACACTTAAGGTGGCTCAGGCTAGGAGCTATAATGTACATAATGTACGATATACTGTCAGGGTGGTCAAAGCAATCAGATTCGACAGGTGCCAAAGTCACCCAACAAAGAAACAATTCGTACACTCCCTCCCTGGTCCCCTGTTCGACTACGATGGAAATCGATGTACCAAAAAGAAGAACAAGCCAGGCACTGTTAAAATGGCGTGGCCCACGCATGTTTTTCGAATACACCTCCGAGATCCTCCAAGTATGCGAAACAACAACAAATCATCCCTACTGGTAATAAGTGCGCTTACACGACATCACCCACCAACTTCATCTTCAATTGCCACGGAACTGATGCGAGCTCTCTGAATGGGCAGCCAGTGGCCCTTCCGCCTGTCCTGGCCTCATATCCCAACACCTTCAATCTTTCTTCCAAACCAAGCCCCATCCGTATATACACAAACATCACACAAAAGCACTATACGATCACGAGCCATGAAAACCATAGCACAATCCGTTGATGAATCCTGAGGCTCAAGCTGCTCATCACCAGCAGGAGATCCATGTGCTTGAGAGCCTGCAACGAAGTGTATAGGCCCAACTAGCTTCATTGTGCTCCGACAGTTCGTACACTTCTGAAGGGCCACATTGTCATGTACATATGCAAGCATATGAACTACTACAATATGGTTCGCGGAAGCACGTTTCAAAGCACAACATTGGTACCAAATCTTGAGGATCCGAGCGATGGTGTTGATGTCCGTGCTTCCTAGGATGTTGGGTAACAAGCGAGTCACAACCAGCACACTCCACAAAATCGCTGTGTACAGGTGCGATGATTCTGTAGGTATTTCACTGCCACCCTTGTCATAATTTATGTTCCAAGGAACTGATGCGAGCTCTCTGAATGGGCAGCCGGTAGAGCCTGTCCTGGCCTCGTGTCCAAGCCCCCACACGCCCACCACAACACACGAAACCA